CCCCAAAACCCCAAAACCCCAAAACCCCAAAACCCCTAATTTCCTTTCTGAGTTTATAAAAGATTAATGGAATATTGGACTTATGAGCCAGCTGAGCATTGTGGCAGATGCATCTGGCCTATTAAGAAGATGGATAGTTGCCCAAAAGTCTCAATTACAGATATCGGTCAGGATCCAGGAGGTGCTCTTCTTAATTTCATCTTTATGCTAGCATCCATGTTTCCATTTATAGCAGTGGTTGTTATCGCTGTGATGGCAATCTGGAAAAATATACCAGAGAGAGTTTTTATACCTCTAGGTATTTTATCGGTAAGGCTCTTAGTTTGTTGTGCTCTTCAAGCAGACAAGCTGGGTGATTAAACTTTCTAAAATGTTAGCATTATTTAGATATTGACAGGTAAACTTCTGATGCTTTTAAGGGAGATATTTGTTTTCTCCATGTAGAATCCTACGAATTTAACTTTTTTATGTACAAAAATTCCCAAACTACTCCGAATGAACATATGAGATCTTATAGGTTCTGATGTGAGAGTTGATCTTAAAATACTCCATAAGGCAGCATAGGCCAGAAGGAGCTTGCTCTGCAAGCTATGGAATGCCTTCAGGTATTTTTTGCGTCAAATTATAGGTCACAGCAGTTTCTCAGTATGCTTTATCATCTGGGCTACTTATGCTTACCTAGTTCATTTGAAAAGACTATGGCAACCAATATTCTTCTTCTTAGCCGCAATTGTAGTAATTATTAGCAGAGTTTATCTTGGATATCACACTATCTTACAAGTTTCAATGGGGTCTTTGGTCGGACTTCTACTCAGTGTGAGTTACCTATCTGTGGTTCATTTCAAGACAAATTGGACTCATAAATCTAGAGAATCGTATGATGTTTTGTCTCTAACCTTATCTAGTGATTTGGCTACAGCCTTGGTTCCCGCCGAAGACTTAGAAGACAGTAACAACACCAATGGGGCATTGAGCAAGCCTGATTTAGCCTACCAAATGTTACCAACAGAAGAAATTCAGAATTTAGATCAGGTAATTTGCTAAAATATTTAAGTCCCTTTAGGAAGATGATCCAGAAGTTGTGACGAAAATTAACTCAGGATAGTTCAATTTATAGAAGAGCATGAGGGGTTTTGGGGTTTTGGGGTTTTGGGG